CCGTCGCCGTCGCCGTCGCCGTTTCGTCTCGGCGCGCCTCGAGGCGGCGTCGAGAGGGCGACGCGGACGATGCCGGTGCCGGTGCCGGTGCCGGCGCCGTCGCGGCGCGTGGGTCGGCGGCGGGCCGGAGCCGGTGGCTCGAGTCCGCCTGGGGGGGGCAGCGCTGCCGGTCGAGCCAATCGTGGCGGAGGCGCAGGGTGAGTCGGCCGGCGCTCCAGGGCGCCTTCAGCAGGAGCGGATGGAAGAGGTCGGGCAGACAACGCTCCGACTGCCCGTCCAGCGAGATCGTCAGGACGAGGTCGGCCGGTCTGGTCGAGTGGCTGGCCTCGTCGGCCGGTGGCCGCGGCGCTGCGTGCGGCGCCGTCTTGCTGGCCGAGAGGTCGAGTCGCCTGACGACGTACCGGATCACGTCGCGCACCGTCGTCTGTGCGCTCACGAGAAGACGGATTGAGGTGCCCTCCTGCGGGGGGGGGGAGGATGAGGGGGGTGGAGTGAGAGAAAAGTTGGCACTCTTTAAGCGTCTGCAGGCTCGACTCCGGTCGTGACTTGGGGCCGACAGGAAACATTCGTTTGAGCAAAACGCTGGTTTTCCTATCATACAAACCGAATCACTGAGGCCTTAGCTACGCTCGGCTACTCGCGAAGACAATAAGTAGTAATATGAGATGTATTCACCCTATTTCGTGTGAGCTGATCAAGTACTGGTAGTAGAATTTTACTACCAGTCCTTCATCAGCTTACCCGAAATAGTGTGAAAACATCTCATACTACTGATTTACTGGTAGTCTCGAAACTCTACTCAAATACGAAAATAAGTAGTAGACAGTAGTTAAGTGATATGGAGGCCTTTATTTTGTACGAAAATGTGTCCGACGGAGAGGTTGGTTGTTGGACGCACCAGAAGATGACGACACATTCCTGTTGTTCTGTTGGTTTTAATGAGACGCTCTAGTTGACACGGTCCACGAGACATTCGCCCTCGTTTCGTCCGTCATTTCGCTTGACAAACATCTCCAGGACTGGAACCCATTATTAAGATTGAGTCAGGACACCCAGCCGCTCCTATCCTGTTTGCCTTATCTGCTCGTGGCGAATGGAAATTAGTTGTAGAATGGTTTAATCAGTTCCCTTCTACTCGGCTGTATCTGGTTGCATGTGTAAGTGTGTCAGCGTCTGTAGGCACACATACAACCAGACACAGTCGAGTAGAAGAGAACTGATATACCCATTTTACATCTCATTTCCATTCGCCATGATTACATAAGGCAAGGAGGATAGGGGCTGCTGGTCTTCTCGACTTGATCTTAATGATGAGTTCCAGTCCTGGGGATGTTTGTCAAGCGGAATGACGGACGAAAGGTCAGCCCGTCGGCACCTGAAAATGTCGAATTAAGATCAAAGTGCTACAGGACAACAGGAAGTTGTCGTCATCTTTTGGTAAGATCGACCAACCAATTTCTTCTTCAGGCTCACTTTCATACAAAATGAAATGAGATTCATCGCGACCTGGCTGATATTGGTATCCGTCACCGGAAATTACAGGCTTAGTAAGTTCTTAGGCGAAAAGTATTAGTGATCTCGAAAACTAATTAAGGGAAAACAAAAATTTGTGTTATACAAGGTTTGCTCATCTTTTTCCATTTAAGCTCATGAAGGATTGGTAGTTAGATTTTCCCAATACCTTTCACGAAAGCAAGGCCATGTGAAATTGAATGGAAACTTCAGCTCTACTCATCGCATTGTCCTTCAACACCTTAAAAGAAATAGGATGAGCACATCTCATTTACTGATAGTCGCGAAAACCTACTTACATATGAAAAAAAGTAATGCTTTTAGGTCAAAGTTGATATCTGCACTCGATTTGTCTGAAAATCTCGTTTCTACCTATTCTTGCTTGACCCAAACCGCGTGTGACTTTTTACCGCTTGGCCGACAGAAGACAGAGAATCTACTACAGGACACGTAAACCTCGATTGGTAGATTTTGCATTTATCGCGCCCTCCACGGTCTTTGCACAGTTTCACTTTGCCAATATTCCCAACGTGGTTGTTATCGGAACGTGGTGCGCTTTCGCTTAGTTGTCGACTCTTTCAGTTGACCACATGCGCTTCACTATATGCAGCCCGATTTGGCAGACAAGCTGATATACATTCATTTGACCACTCCATTAGCTCCGCTTGGCCATGGTGACACTCACCATGACAATAATGCCAATTGCTTGAGGGTAAATTTTGCCAAACAAGGCATCAATTAGTTCAATTCAACTTGGAGGTGGTCGGTCTGCTTGTGGATCAAAGACCTAGACAAGGGGGATAACTCGGCCAACGGAAGTGGGAATCGCTGAACAATTTAGGGCTAGACCAACACCATATCGCGGTAGCAACTGAGCCGGAAGATGAGACATGACAAGAACTTTTAGCCTCAGAATGCAGGGAAAAAATGTTGAAATTTATGCGACAAACCTGGAAAATGGGAAAGAGCGGAAATTTCCACAATACAATATGACTGCTTTTTGGTGAATCTACGGATGTATAATAGAAGAGCGCTTAATTTTGTTTTGTGTGTGTGTGTGTGTGATGAACATAAAGTCTAGCAGTTCCATCTCACCAAAAGACAACGACATAGTTCGC